AGACTTGGGGCTCCCTAGTCTCGAAGAGTCCCAAATAGAGGAATTGCCATGATAGTCTACAACTGGGCGGTTCTCACTACAACGAATAGCCAAGTCTCACTTGGTTACGGACTCAAGCGATTCCTAAGTTCGGTTTTTATCATGGCCCTCCAATCTCATTTTCTGCAATTTTTTATGGGACTTTCAGCTTTAGAGGTAATAGTTATGCATGTGTTGATGACGCTATCAAGTGGATTACAAATTTATCATTTTTTAAATGACTAAATATACATATGGTTATTCTAGAATAAACCATACTAATAGTGAACTTAGAATTTCTTACTCCAAAACTTTTGATCATAAAATGCCCTTATATTGTATAAAATGACTTTTGATTATAAATAGTTCATGTATTTTAGGAAGGGTATTTTTGTTTTTTCAAAATCCATCAAAAACTCATTCAAATTTAAAAAGACTCCTTTGACTTGAATGATGATTATATTACAAGTAGTTAACTTTCTCTCAAAAAAAATGTTACAAATAATTTAAAATTACAAATACATCCTTTCAAAGTTGTAAAACAATCCATTGTTAATGTAATTTCTATTTGTGAAGGCATTCGATTGTCAAAAATTTCTGGACAGAAAATTCTACATTCACCATTAATATGGTGTATCCTAGAATAACTAATACATATTTGTATATATAGCCAAAAGATTTTATACTCCCACAGGAGTATACTATGCATTTACTCACTGGGGGTGAAACCTAGTGTAGGAGTAATTTTAGGACCCCAAATTTTGGGGATGCAACCTCTTCAATCTAGAGACTAAAAAAAAAGAAGAAAATCTCAATTGGACACTCTTATGTAAGAAAAAATATGATCTCTTAAGATTGAACAATGACTATCCAATTTTCGAAGGGTGAGATCTAAAGAGTCAAACAAAACTCATCATCATCATCATTTTAGCATTTTTCCAATTAATTGGGGTCGACAACATGAATCATGGTTCTCCATTCTGCTCTATTAAAGGTCATATCATAAGTGAGGCCATAAGTTCCCATATATTTTCGGACTACTTCCAACCATGTCCTTTTGGACCTACCCCTTGTTTTTTTTAGTCCTTCCACTTCAACTAACTTGCACCTCATTACAATTGATGTACTTGGTTAGCACCACACATGGCCAGCCCACCTAAGTTTACTCTCTCTCATTTTATCGCCTATTGATGCCACGCCTAAATTCTCTCGAATAGATTCATTTCGAATTCTATCCCTTCTTGTCTTGCCACTCATCTATCTCAACATATTCATCTCTGCTACACTCATTCTATGGGTATATTATTTTTTGTCTGCCCAACATTCCACCCCATAAAGCAAAGTTGGTCTCACCGCTGTCCTATAGAACTTGCCCTTCAACCTCATTGGTATGCGGTGATCACATAAAATTCCAGTTGTACATCTCCACTTCGCCCACCCAGCTCTAATTCTATGTGCGACATCTTTCTTGATCTCTCCATTTTTCTGGATTATCGACCCAAAAAGTGCGGTCTTTTTTGGTCTAAAAAGGATGATGACCTTAAACTTTCCCTTGACCCATCCCATGCCCAGGTAAAGGGGCATGGTTGTGTTAGGTAAAAAGCCAACATAAAATTTTACCTAAACCCATCATGAGTCAAACAAAACTCAAAATTCAAAAAAATTTCTTTTAACAATAATCATATAGTGATTCTTAGTTGGTTCCCTAAATTTTAGATTGAAAAAATCCTCCAAAGTAGGTCTTTTAAGTGAGGGAGTAGATGACCAACATGCCTTTGGGAGGGAGTAGATGACCAAACCCACTTCCCAAACAACGCTTCCAAGCGCTATGAAGATATAGAGCTTCAACCATGTGTCGATCCCACGCTCGCACTCCCACTCCCAACAACCATGACAAGAATAAAGAGATCAATTAATTTGTAAATTAAAGTCAATCTGATCATCATATATTAGTAGTTTCTCTCCCTATGAGGATATTTGATGTTTTGTATAATATAACTCAATGTGGTTTGTAGATGTTCTATAAATTTGTAAATTGCATTTTATGTATGTGTAAATCTATAATTGGTTTGACATAACTCTTCTGAAAGTCAATATAATCATAAGAGTACTAATCTGTTGAAACCAAATCAAATAATCATGAAAACTATCTATGATCATGAAGATGAAAAAAGAAAAAACAAAGAAAACCCATTGGATACCAAAACAGAATGTGTTAACATTCAAAGGTACTTCATGAGATTATATACTTTAAATCCAAGGATGAAGATGCCAATGACAACAAATGCATCTTTTTTTAGAATAATTTGGAAGAGAGAATACAGCACTATATTAATGTGCATGGTTGTGCTTTTCTTGACAAAAAGATGTAGATGTTAGTATTTTTTAGTAGAAAAAATACTTTAGGGTATTTTAAAATGAGTAATGACCTATGAGACCCTCCCACACCCATGTGTGTAGGACCTCAAAGGATCACCATTAAATTTGGCACAAATATCTAGAAAAGTCAAGTCCTACACCCATGTGATAACTTTTTTAGAGATCTGTGCCAAATTTAATAGTGATCCTTTGGGGTCCTACACACATGGGTGTGGAAGGATCTCATAGGATCATTACTCTTTTAAAATATATAAGTTCAAAATGTTACAATTTTGTAAACTATACTTTTGTCTCATAAAAATGAGAGAATGGTAGGGTATTTAGTTCCACATTGATAAATAGAATGAGAGACGAAGTATATATAGAGAAATCCTTTTCACCTTTATGTTCATTGAACAAAGGAGAGAAGGGGCGCTTGAGATACACTTTGTACAGAACATGAGGTGCACTTAGCCCGTGCACATGTAAACTCGTGCCACACACATTCTTAATCACAGCTAATGCCATTAGCCTCAGATATAATTGGCCACAGTTATCGTCATGGTTATCGGCAGCACGACTATCGGCCGTGGTTATGGGTGACGCGGTTATTAAATGCGACCATCAAAGCAAGTGCAACCATGGGCGTGCACCGCATATGGCCACCTAAGTGAGCTAGCATGATGCGCCTGCATAGGCAGCACATCACGGCGGTTTAGTGGTGGACATATCAAAGCGAAATAAGATTTCAGATTGACATCTTGATGCACTGATTTACCATAATAATAAATAGAGTCAATGGTTACGGTTACTCCACCATGGGAAGAACCATTTCTTTCTTTATAGGGGGGCCTCCATTCACAACACAGACTAAAGGTGCTCTCCGAACCATGCTGGACATTCCCCCCACAAGGGGAGAAAAGAGTTTGGAGGAGGTATAGAGCCCCCAAAAGCTCCTTAGAACCAGCTTTTCATGGTTCTAAGGGGGTTAAAGCGAAAAAATCAAGAACGATTTTCTTTTGTTCTTTTTTTTTAAATAGGATAAATTCTGTGGATTCTTTGTGCAAATGTTCGACTTGATTTTTATGCTATTTTTTGAAGGATCTTTGGGCAAAAAATTTTACTTTTTTTGTCATGAAATTTTGGCCTTTGGATCTTATGCACTTCTGAGTACTTTTAGACAATTAGTCTTTAGTATTTAGTATCTTTTGATATCGGTTATTACGTGCTTGATGCTATTTTATTTTTTTTAAGAGGTTTGGTAACTTGGTATATTGTTTTGTGTTTTATTCAATTTAATGAGTGGAATGGATTAATTAATTTTACATGGTAATTACATTTGGCAACAGAAACAAGATTGTTTTCTTTTGCTCTTTATCAGGTTATCAATGACAAAAAAATGGATGTATTTCATACAATACCAAATTAAAATGCCTACTATCACACAAATCACATATTCATGTTAACCTTTATATTCTTATATTTTCTATATTTTATTTTTACATTTTATTGACCACGTTAGAAGTGAAGCACCACATCCAGGTGCAAAATGCAGTGGACCCCCCTAGAGTTTTAAAATTTATTGACCACATTAGAAGTGAAGCACCACATCCAGGTGCAAAATGCAGTGGACCCCCCTAGAGAATTGATTCCATCCCGCATTTAACAACCTTGTGGGGGACGACTATTGGCCATGCTTAAGGGTGTGTCAGTTACGCCTACTATCAGCCATGGCTATGGACGCGTGGTTCATTTTTTAACTCAAATATTAAAAAATTGAACCAACGTGACCATTGGACAACCCAAAGTGGGGAGCAGTTATGGTTGTTAATAAAAATATGATTGTTAACCTCGATAAGACATGATTTGTCCAAGAACACACACTTCAAACAGTTAGCTTCCATTATTTGAAAGGGAGTCTAGACTCTCTATTTAACTGATTTGAACCTCTACTTCAAATAGTTTCATAACAGTCTCTCTCTTTCTCTATTTCACAAAAAAGCAAGGCAATAGACTGTTGTTTCGTGGTTCTTAGTTCTTACTGTTCTTGTGCATTTGAACGAGCAAGATCACTTTTATCATCTATTTCGTTGGTACTCTGTTCTTGCTGTTCCTGTACATTTGAACAATCAAGATTACTTTGATCTTGATAACACTAATGCACCTCAATAACATAGTGGGCAAATGTTATCTTGAGATAGTGTCAATAGACATGCCTTGAAACAAGAGGACCATAATTCATACGGTTTAATGTTTTAGAATCAACTCGTCACTGTTATTGGGAATCTCATCATCTTTTAGCCCCGCTTCATCCACCTCCCAAATCAGACTTAGAAGAAAGAAAGATGGGACCATTTTTGCTTCAACTCCCAGTTTGTTAAATGGGAAACTATGTTTGGTAAATTTTGAAAACCTTTAGAATCGTAGTAATTTTTATAATCAAATACATCAAGATGAGATATTCAAGGACCCAAGCAAACATTGCACATGCAGTTTATACCAGGAAATGCAAGGTAAATGAAGAGAAAAACCCTTGGACATAAAAGATCAACAAGAAGAACACCTAAATCACAAACCACTTTCGAACTATAAAAGATACAAACAAAATAAATAATATCACATACCATCTTGTGTTACAATGGGATAATCCGATGCCGTAAGAGTAATGAGCCAATCCCAACTACTACTAACCCCAAGCAAAATGGACGAGGCATGAAGCATTGAAGCCAAACAAGATGAACCCGCAAAATCAACACGATCACCCTTTGCAATAATATCAACATTCCCAAAAGCCATGAAAACCCTAAAAGCATGAACCTCTCTTGATAATTCCTCTCTCTCTGCTACAGAGGCTTCCGAATCAAGGTGAAGAAGATACTGATTTCTTGGGTGGTAAACTACCTTCAAAAGGCGAAGAATTCTACGCTTGTCACCATGAGAGCCGGAAATCCAATAAGCCAACACAGGAGGATAAGAAGGGCCTTTATGAACAAAATTTGAAGGCAAGCCAGCAGTTAAAAGGCAGTAGAGATTGAATGAGGATGAAGAACCGGAGATCGTGAAGATCAAAAGAAGGGCGCAGAGGATTGCAAAGAGATGTTTCTTCCTTTCTGTCATGGCTGAAGCCTGATGGAACATGAGTTCGGGCAAATAGCATCGTCTTCTTGCCAGGCAAAAGGAAACAGTGCAATCTGATTCCTCTTCCTCAATTGAGTACTGTGAATCAAGAGTAATAAACAGTACAATCTACTTCCTCTTCCTCAATTGAGAATGGTAAATCATCAATTACTCCTGTAACCTCAATTGAGAACCGTGAATCATCAATTACTCCTGCAACTTGAAGAAGCGAAAAAGGAACATGAGTTCGGGCAAATAGCATCGTCTTGTTGCTATGGGCAAAAGGAAACAGTGCAATCTGCTTCCTCTTCTTCAATTGAGAACTGTGAATCATCAATTACTCCTACAACTTGAAGAAGGGAAAATTAACCATGAATCCATGAAACTGAACTTGGACAAAACTCTCTTATTTTCGCTCTTTCAAGAACACTCATTTGTAAGGGAAACTGAACCATCTCTCTGAAGACTATTAATCTTCAACATGAATTGATGAAGTATTCATTTGACCATTAATCTTCAACATGAATTGATGAAGTATTCATGTGACCATTAATCTTCGACAGGAATTGATGAAGTATTAATTTGCAAATGCAAGTAATGCATGACGATAATAACCTGAAGAGAATAATCCTCTTCAAACTTTCAGGGAAAGAGTGCATTGGGCCTAGGAATTGAGGAGAGAGGGGACAGTTTACCTAGAGGAAAAAAAGGCAAATTACATTAAAAAAATGGGAAGAGAGAGAAAATAGGAATTACAGAGAGTGAATGGGAAAAGGATATTTAGAGAGAGAATTATCCAAAAAAGATTTTTTTTTTGAGCAGAAGGGTGGGAAAGTACAGTGATGCCGGGAATGGGAGGGTCCGCTTGACGCGTACGCAGGTATTACGTACGGTGAGTACGGATTCGACCGACAGTAATAATGTAGATGGTCGTTAGTGGCACAGAGAAAAGCCATGACATGCGAAAATATCATCCTCACTGTTGAGGGATTAAAAGCCCCCCATTTCACATGAGAGGATTTCCGTAAAAGGTTTGGTGTTTGGACACGGTTTTTATGAGTAGGAGTCCCCTCTTTATGATTTATTTTGGAGCTAGATTTTGGACTTAATTTTGAAGTGTATAGAATATGAGATTATTCATATGTAAAAATGTAAATTTACAAATTATGAATAATAATTTTAGATTACTGGTTCTTATTTTAGGAAAATTATATAAATATTTGTTTTAGTTTAAGTTATTCAGAAATTATGTAAAACTTTTTGTTATTACACATATGTCTATTTTTTTTACTTCATAACAATTTTTTTAAAAAAAATTACAAAACTATCTATTTTTGGTTTTTTAAAAACCGAAATAAGCTTGAGTTCAGTTTTTGAAAAACCAAAAAAGGCACCTCTCGAAACTTTCAGATTGAGAAATCAATTTAGTCTCTTCTGATGTATACAAGGCAAAACTGAGTCATATTGAGAGGGCCTATCTGAAACCAATCGAAGATGAGAGCATAGAAGGTCTATAATGGCATTTGCAGTTCCGAATTCGCTTTTGAACCAAGCCAATAGAGCATCGTTGGGCGCAAAAGTATTGGGAAATTGAGTTGGAGTAGGATTGGGTGGTTGAGGAGGGCCACAAGTTCGATGGTTGGGCACCATTAATTGAGGGGGGAGAGACATCGGATTGGGGCGTGAGAAGCCATTAGAGGTTCGGGTTGAGACCTCGTTTGCCATCGTAGATGCAAAGAGATGTTTCTTTTTTAATTCCGAATTTTCAATGGCGGAGGCTAGGAATTATATTAGGAGATGTCATTCGTGCATTTAGAGAGAGAAAAGTTAGGTAATATGTTATTTTTGAAGAAAGAGCTCAAGAGAGAGAATCGTGCCGAAATATATATTTTTAATGTTGAAAATTATATCTAAAAATCTATCGAGAAATTTACTTATGGACTGGTTAAATTTATAAGAGAGAGGAAAGAGAGAAAAAATTGCAAAAAGCATAAGTTTTGAGACCCAAAGGTTTGTAGAGAGCAAGATTTTGGAGACCGAAGGGTTGCACGTAGTGTTAAATGGACTGGGCCATTTTCGATTTTCAAAAACCAAAATCAGACGTATTTCTATTTTTGAAAATGGGCAATTTTATCTTTTTTTAAAAAAAAATAGTTATGAAGTTCAAAAAACAAACATATATGTAATAACATAAAGTTTTAGATCTTTTTGTAATAACATAAATTAAAACAAATATTTACATATTTTTGCCTTTTATTTTCTTAAAGAGACCACCACTTTACATCTATCTTAACATCTATCTTTAAGATGGATGTGTGATGCCTGAGGGGATATAAATGTAGTTATGTGTACGTGACGCATAAAGCACTTTTCAAAAATATTCTCTAGAAACTAGAGCTCCTAATTAGAATAAGAAAAAGTTTATACAGCTTTAAAATGCATAATTAAGGTGCACATCAAAAATCCATCTTTAAGATTGCTTTGAAGTTGGAAAACCCTTTAATTAATCATGTCAACTTCGAGATGTATGAATATTACAAAAATAAAAATATTTTGAGCCCTGAAAATAATGTATGTTGCAACATATTATAAGGAGTATTCATTTTCAAGATTTTCATGTGTTTATAAATCTACTTTAGAATTATTTTTAGAGTTTAAATTTTTATAATTATATATCAAAGTTAATTATCAAGCTATCCCAAGATTTTTTGACACCAAAATTATATTTATAATAAAATTTGAAATAAAATTTGGAACTGCAATCAAAGTTGTAACTTTATGCAAACCACACCCATTAGAATAAGGTTAATCCTTTCTCACTGTTTATTGATATGGATGGTGAGATACTTTAGAGGGAAATTGGGGCACCTAAAGGCCCAAAACTTTTTTGGGTCCCGTGAGTCTTCACGTATAGTCTATATCTTCTATATATGGTCCCTGTCAGTGTTCACGTATCTTCTATATCAAAACTTTTTTGGGTCCCTGTGAGTCTTCACGTATCTTCTATATATGGGTCCCTGTCAGTGTTCACATATCTTCCATATCTCTATGCATGTTTCACGTACCTTCTATGTTTATATGTAAAATAAAACATGAGGACGTATCTTCTATATCTATATATAAAACATGAGGAGGTTGATACGGAATTTGAGCACCTAAATACTCAGTAGACCCACTTTCTTTTGAAAACCTTTTTTTGTGTCCCTGTCCCTCTCGTATCTTCTATATCTTCTGCATATAAAAACCCATAAAGGGCGATGTTTATATAGAGCCGAGGCTCTAAACCAACAAATTAAAGCTTACCCCAAAAATTTCATTAGAAGAGGTTGTTTTGATACTCAAATATCCTCAAAGTGATACTCTTGGCATCAAGATGCATGGGCATGAGGACAAAAAAATGGATTTCAAGTTTTGGAAATAGTATATTTTGTAACGCATATTTAGACCGTCAATTTTCAAGATTTTCAAGTTTTTATAGATTTATCGATCGACACTATTTTTTAAACTTTATATTTTAAAGCTATCAAAATGATTTTCAGTATTGAAACCACATTTCTCGATACTATTTGAAGGTATGCGTCTAATTTGATTGATTAAAGCCCAGGCTCTATATAAACCACACCCTAAAATAAAACACATTCATTAGGAGGTTGGCTACGATGCAGCTAAGGGTGGCAATAGACCTGTACCCAACCCGGACCCGGCTATAGATCTAAGTTTTGGACCAGCGAATAAGACCCGGGTCCAAAATTGTATACCCGAACAGTCCCGAGTCCGGGTATGGCACCGGTACCGGGGCCCGAACTTTTAAATAATAATTTTTTTTTTACTAAGCCCCAACTCAAATACGTAACCCTAAGTTCAATGGGAATGCTAAACCCCAAACCTCGCCTCCCTCTCTGCAACCTTCGCAGCTTCGCCTCCCTCTCTGCAACTCTCCCTCTCTGAAACCCTCGCGGCCTTGCCAACCTCTCTGCAACTCTCCCTCTCTACAACCCTCGCGGCCTCGCCTGTCCCTAAGTCCTTAACCCAAACCCAAACCCTAAAGGTGTAAATCCCTAAATCGCTATTACAGACCTCTGCTCTTGTCGTTCTGGTTATGGAGGGAAGGAGAAGAGGCGGTGGTGGCTATGGTGGTTGTCGAAAGAGAAAGGGAAACCCTAGATGAGAGAGACGAAAGAAACAGCGGAGCCTTGTAAATCTATAGAGCCCAAGAAGAGATACTTCTGCACTATCTTTGGTAGCCATGAAACTCTAATTAATCACTCTCTCTCTACTTCCCTTCATCCTTAGCATTGGCAAACCCTCATTACTTAACCAAATCAAGGGCTGCTCTATCATGGTCATGGCCGATCCAAGAGACCAGAGCCTTCCCGATCAAAAATCGACGACCGAGAGGTGCGAGCCTTGTGGATCAGAAATCGACGATCGGAGGTGGAAGCCTTCCCTGCTCTGGAAGGTTCTGGTTATGAAGGCTATGAAGGAGGAGGCGGAGTTATGGAGGCTATGAACAGAAGGCGGAGGTTCTGGTTATGGAGGTCTATCATGGTTCTGGTTCTGCTTTTGTTCGGTGTTATGATGGTTTTGGTGAAACATATAGAGAGAGAATGAATAGATGAGCGAGAAAGAGATGAAAGTGGCTGAACCGAGATAGAGAGAGGAAGATGGCTGCACAGTTAGAGAGAGCGGTGGTCTGGGATCGGGCACGGGTCCCGGGTCCAAAGTTATTTGTCGGGTATGGACATAGCTATGTTCAATTTGGACCCGTTGGGTAGCGGTCCGGTATTTCAGGTCCGGGTCCAACTGAACCCCACGATACCCGCAGCGAGATAGAGAGAGGAAGATGGCTGCACCGTTAGAGAGAGAGAGGTGGTCTGGGTTGGGGCTCGGGTTCGGGTCCCGAGTCCAAAGTTATTTGTCGGGTATGGATATAGCTATGTTCAATTGGACTCGTTGGGTACAAGTCAGGTATTTCAGGTCCGGGTCCAACTGAACCCTACCATACCTGCCCCTTTGCCACCAGTAACAAGCGGCATGCAAGGAATTCATCTAAGCTTTGGAGTTAGGCTAGACAATAAAGAGAAAAAAAAAAAAAGAAGCTAGGTTTGGATAAGTTTTCGCAAAAACTGGTCGGATAGAATCGGAACTGGCCGGTCAAATCCCTATCGGTAGGGTGGCGAGTCTGGTTAGGGCCGGTTTGGTGGTACACCTTATTAGACGGCCCTTTCCAAAAAAAACCAGCTCCTAAATCGACATTGTTCAATGTCGAACCGGCTATTTTTTCTCAAAATAAGTCGGTTTAGCAGTTTTTCTCAAAATCGACAGCTTTACTTAAGCGGTCCGGTTTACTTTTTTTATCGCCTGATATGACAGTAGCCTCCATATAACAACCGTTATTTATCACAAAGCCCGTTATATGTATCAGGAAACTATGAATCTAAATTTTCACTTTTTTTTTATTCTGTTTGTGCTTTTTTTTGTTTTTTTCGTGTTTTAATGGTTTAAATCACTATATAATGAATATAAAACAAGTACTTTATGAAATAAAAAAGTTTATGGGACGGAAATGGCTGGTTTTTTAGGTTTATTAAAATTTTTTCCATTCTTCCAATAATCTCCTCAATACCTAACGTTTCTTGAAGAAATTTGAAGGTTTCTCCTCAATACTCAATGGTTCCAGAAGAAATTTGAAGGTTTTGATTGTTATTCTAGGTATTTATTAGATTCAAGTTTTAATTTGTTTAAAAAACAAAAAATCAACGGTTTATTTTTGTTCGGAATGC